GGGAGTGGGGGCAGGGAGCTTCCCTGCCCCCATCCCCTACGCTGTGGGGGTTGGGAGTTGAGCCTGTCCCCCCTGCTGATGCTGCCCACTGGGTCCCCTCCAGGCTCCCTGGGGTTTGTAGTGCTGGGCTGGGGGCACTTGGCCAGGGCCTGGCTGCCTCCGCCGGGAATGCTGAGGCCAGAGCATCAGGTTACAGGCAGCCCCTGTTTGTTTGGGTGCCTGGGCAGCCAGGCCCAGGTGTGGGGGGGCCCGAAGGCTTTCTGGCCCCAGCCCTAGGAGCAGGGGGAGCAGAGAGCAGTGGCTCCTTTCCATCGTAGCTGGATGCCGGGGAGCTCCCAGCTGCCCCAGTTCCAGTCTCCCCCAGCAGGGACGTGGGGCAGGAGCTCCCTCCATCTCAGCGCCTGGCAGGGACTGGGAGGAACAGGGCAGGAGTGTGGGCTGTGGGTGGAGGCTCCTGGCTCCTCTGCCCATCCTCGCAGAGGGCACTGTGGGCAGCGGGGCAGGAGCGTGGGGGTGGGCGCTCCCAGCCACTCCTAGCACATGTCCTATGGGAGGGCCGTGCTGACGTGCTCTGGGGCTCCAGTCCCCAGCTGCCCTGGCTCCTCTGTGGGCTCCTCGCTCCCCAGAACAGGTTTGTCTGGGCCCGGAAGCTGTTTGTAGGACAGCTGGGGCGGGCGGGGAGCATGTGGCGAGCTGAGTCAGGGGCCCCAGCCTGACGCTGGAGCAGGGAGGGGCCGTCAGGGCCCCTGCCGAGCTGTGCTGGGGGGTTTTTGGCATGGGGCAGCTGCTTCCCTGCTGTCTGCTTGTTTGGGGGGGGTTGAGCCAGCTGGGCTTTGGCCTTCTGGTGACCTGTGGATGTGCTCTGGGGGCTGCCACTGTTTCTCATACCTGGGCTGCGGTAGGGCTGGGGCAGGGGCTAAGCCTGGGACGGAGGGGTGGCTTCCATGTCACCGCACCTGTGGACTGGAGCTTTGGGTTGAGGTGTGAGTGGTGGGGCTGGGAGCGGGGAAGGGGAAGTACATGTGGGGTGGCTGGGCTGTTGGTGGGTGCTTGGGGGCATGGTCAGCTTCCAGCTGTTGTGGGTGGGGGAGGTCGTGTTCTAGCTGTGGGGGCAGCAGGCAGTTCTGGGAAGGGGTGGCAGGCTGAGACCATCCTGTGCCGCTGCCTTTCCTGGGTTGGTTTTCTGTGTGGAAGGGGGCTGTACCGACACTGGGGCTTGGGCAGGAGCTGTGCTGAGACCCCCCCCTCCCCACCCCAGGCATGAATCACATGGCGCTGTGGGAGTGCAGGGCCTTCTCCGGGTAACCCGGGCTAGAGGCAGATTGAGGCCCTGGCTGTAATGGAGTGAAGAAATTGTGGGTGGGGGGTGTTGAGGGGGCTGCGACTGGAGATGCCCCCTGCCCAGCAGGGTGGGGTACAGCTGGGATCCTTGCAGAGCCTGCGGTGGCCGTCCCCGCCTGAGCGCACCGCTTGCCTGTGTCCGCAGATAGCGAGGAGAGCCTTATGCAGAACCACGTGAAATGAACAAAGCTCCACAGCCCACAGGAGGAGCCCCGACAGCCCCGCACCCTGCCCCTTCTCCCGGACTTCCGCAGGTAACCCCTGCCCCATGCCTGCCCCTGTCCCGCCCCCAGCCCCGCTGGCCCCGGGGCCAGCTTGAGGTGCAGGAAGCCAGCTGGGATCAGGCCCTGGTGCAGCCAGGGGTGACCAGAGCCAGAGCCACCTCATGGGGAGCACAGTGGTGAGTGGAGCGGGGCAGCTGTGGGCCAACCTGCTCCCTCCTTGCCTCCCTGCAGTCGACGTTCCCCACTGGCCAGACGGCACCCGTGGTTTTTAACCCCTCGCCCGCCTCACAAATGAATACGCCTTCCCAGCCTCGACAGGTAAGGGGACTGCTGGGGCGGGCGGGAGGCCGGTTGTTCTCCCCGCCCTGTCCCATGGAGGCTCTGCGAAGGCCCCAGGGCTATTCCGGGTCCTGGCAGCCACGTGGCTCACGGGGTGCCGGCTGGGTGGATAATCTGCTGCCGAACAGGTTGAGTGCTGCTGCTGGTGCCAAGCCAGGCCCCAGAGCTGTGAGGCAGGGCAGAGAGGCCCGGGCAGAACTCGTTGGGCCTGGCACAGCCGGGAGCCGTCTTCTGCGCCTGTGTGGCTGAGCCGGGCACTGGAGGGCCTGCCTCTACCCTCTTCTTGGTGGGGCGGCCCTGGGCTATGCTCTGCCCCTTGAGTGACTGTGGTCTTCTCTCCTCGTGCTCTTTCCTGCCTTAGTTTCCAGCAGGGCCTCGGGCTTTACAGCCGCAGGTACTAACCCACTCCGCATGTGTCCGGCCCCAGGGAGGCAGCTACATGCTGCTTTGCTGCAAGGAGGCAGTGGGGAGGGCAGGGGGCCAGATGGAGCTCTGTGCTGGGGGCCCAAGAGCAGGGCTGGCTCTGGGGCCTGAGGCCTGGGGAGTGTTGCTGCAGTGTCTTGAGTTCTTTGCTGTCTCCTGAGCAAAGCCTGGAGCATGTGGCTGCTTCTCTGCTTCCCAGCCCTCACCCAGCTGCACCACAGGGCATTGGCTTCTACTGCCATGCTTGGCTGGAGGGTGTCCTGTGCCTGCAGGTCACCTCTCACCATGCTGAGGAGTTGCCTCTCCCCTCACTCTCATAGTTCCTTTCTCACACGGCTAGGGAGGGGCCTGCATGCATCCGGAGGGGGGTCACAGGGGCCACAGTAGCCCCCCAGGGGAGGAAGTAAGTTGAATTCTTCCTTCCACTCACTCGCCTGGGACCATCCAGTAGGGTTTGCACCTGCCCTGCTGCACAGGGATGCATGTGGGGGGCACACCCAGCTGAGGGCATTGCAGCCTGCTAGGGCAGTGGGGCCTCATGTCTGTCTCTGGCTGGAAGAGTTGCTCTGGGCTGGGCAGTGGTGCAGTGCCCAGTCCATTTGTGCCCCTGGGCCTTGTGTCCCAAGGGGCTGGGGTCTAGGGGCTGCTTTCTTGTGGGTCAGGCTATGTGCCTCGTCTCAGAAGCCCTGTTTGGCTCAGCAGGGCAGGGGCTGGCTTTGCCCGCAATTGTGCTGCTTCCTGCCCTGGGTCGTGGGATAGGGCCCTTGTGGTGTCCCTCGTTCCTGCCTGCTCAGCTCTTTTGCCCCCTTGGCTGTGGGCACTCCAGCTGTCCTGGAAAGTTGCTCTGTGGGTGTTGGGGAAGGTGCTCTGGGCCTGAGCAGTGTCAGTCCCATCTCAGCGCTGATGGCCTCCACCATGTCCACCTGCCTCCCTCCACCGTCTCTGCAGGGCAGAGAACAGCTGTTTTATCCATCACTAGGCCCCCAGGCTGCACCTTTCAGGGCTGCTGGAGGCGGGCAGCTTTCTGGAGCCTGGGTGAGGGCTGCGGCGTGGAGCTCCCCGAGATGCACTTGCCTCACTGCCCATCCTGTGCTAGGCTGGCTCTGCCCAAGCCCTGGCTCAGCGTGTACTGGCTGGGCCCTTGCGGGGCTGCGGGTAACTCCTGTCTCTTTTCTCTTCCTTCCCCTCCTTGCGTGTGTGCTCGCTAACAGGGAGGATTCAGGTCTCTTCAGGTAACGCTTTTTCCTTGCCCCGTCCCCAGGAGGTGCGGTGGTGCGTGTGTGTGTGTGTAAGCACTGTGCGATTGCCTGCCATGCTCTGGCTCTGGGGCTGGCTCATTACTGCTTCTCTTCTGGGGCTGTACCAGGGTCCAGCCCTAGCTGCCTTCCTTTGTCCCTGCTTTCAGCCGAGGGAGCTTTGGGAAGGGCCTAGAGCTGCTTCTGCTGAAAGTGGGCACCCTTGGAGTCAGATGCTGGGGCCAGACCCACCTGGTGCCCGTCTGGACTGGTGAGGCCCCGAGAGCCCTCCCTGCCCACATGCCCCATGCAGCCTGTGTGCCCTGCACTGCCCATTGGTTGGCAGAGGGATGGCCTCGGGGGACCACGTGTCCCAGGGTGCCATGCACCATCTGCAGTGCGTGCTGGAACCAGGGTTGACTGGCTCCTATCAGCTCTTTTGGTCAGACTGTCTTGGGCTTGTGCTGGGGGAGCAGTCGGGGTCCCTGCCAGCTGTGCAGGGGGTGAGAAGTTGAGCCCAGTTTCAGGGCACCGGAGCTGGGGAGTCCAGGTGATGCTGCGGGGCAGGGCAAGGCAGTGCCTGGGGACAGGAGGCTCCTGAGGGGAGTGGGGACTTGCCCAGATCTCAGACAAGCCAGCCATGTCTCCAAAGTGACCCCATAGTGGCATGTGGCCCATACATCTGGGGGCAGTGTGGGGGTGCCATGCAACTCCCCAGAATGGGGGGACAGATCCTTGCATGGTACCAGCACCGAGGGGGCAGACACCGCTGCCCAGCCCTCTGGCCGGGGGGTGCAGAGGAGGAAGGGGGTCAGGCGCTGGAGTCAGTGCTGACTGTTTCCTCCCTGTTCCTCTCTCCCAAAGCATTTCTACCAGAGCAGGGCACAGCCTCCCACCAGCGCTTCCCGTGTGCAGAGCAGTGCGCCGGCCCGGCCCGGCCCGCCCACCCATGTCTATCCTGCTGCTTCCCAGGTGATGATGATTCCCTCCCAGATCTCCTACACTGCCTCACAAGGAGCCTACTACATCCCCGGACAGGTGAGGGCTGTGCCAGGCTCCGACTGGGGCTGGAAGGGCCTGGCTGGGTGGGGAGAGACCCTCAGGCTCCTTCCTGGCTATGGACCCTCCTCTCCCTGTCTGGGGTCCCCATGTGGTCTGGCAGCCCTTCAGTGCTGTGCTTGGGCTGGGAGGCCTGGTGCAGTGACCCTTTCAGCTCCAGGCGCCCTAGGGAGCTGGCTGCGGGGTCTCCTCTGCCCAGCCCCAGGACTGGTGGTGTTGCCAGCGGGCTGGAGCTCTGCTCCCTGGCAGTGCCCGTGCCCCACAGTTCACCAGGTTGTGCCAGGATCTTGCGGCTCTGCAGGCAACTCTCCCCATGCCTGGCAGGCAATAACTCTTCCCCCTTCCCCCCCAGGGTCGCTCCACGTATGTTGTTCCCACTCAGCAGTACCCAGTCCAGCCAGGTGCCCCCGGCTTTTACCCCGGCGCCAGCCCCACGGAGTTCGGCACCTACGGTAAGGACCCACCTCCCATCCATGGGGGGTGGGTGGGAAGATGCCACTGTCCCCGTGCACATGTCTGCAACCTCCTCTGTTGCTCCCCACGTGTGCCTGTGCATGCTTGTGCTGGGAGCATCTCCCACAGGGATGCAGAGGAGTGGGGGACAAGGCCCCCGCGTTCACCATGAATATCCCAACTTGGCAATAACCCAGTGAGGGGAGGGGGGAAAAGGTAGCTCTGGGCAGAGCACGAGGGCTAGCCCCTACCCCACCAGGGCCCCTCTCCCTCCCGCCCCCTGCCAGGGCCAGCTTAATGTTTAACTGGGCTGATGGAGGCTGGGCAGACTTTTACCCCAGCCTGCCCTTTTGCTTGCCTGGCTCAGCAGCAGAGAAAGAAGGGGTGCGGGGGGGGGGGCCGTTCATGCCCCCACCCTGCTCCAGCTGTCCTGGCCCCTGCCGGGCTGTGGAGTGGGGCTACGGGGCGGGTGTGCATGCAGCCCCTCCCCCGCTCACATGGCCAGCCGGGCTGTGACTATATTTAGTCTGGGTTCGTCCTGGGTGGCTCTGCAGACACAGAAATGTGAGCTGGGGCCTCGGTCCCAGGCCCTGCCCGGCACGGCCGCCTTCTCCGTGTGGGGCAGCACACGCCTCTCAGCTATGGGCCCCGCCTGAGGCAGGTAGGTAGGTGCCCCTCTCCATCAGCCTGCCGGCATCAGAGGGGGGCTGGAGACAGCAGCTGCGCTTAGCTCCTGCACTCCTGCCCGTGGCCTGGCTGGCTCCCCATCCCAGCCTGTGGTGCTGGTAGGCCGCAGCCTTGAGGCGGGCTTGCACCTTTGGGTCTGAGCCATATGGGTGGTTGCAGGGTCTTCGGAGGGTGGGGATGTCATGCCAGGGAGAGGGTCAGGTGCCCTGTGGACCCTCAGCATCCATAGGCAGGCCTGGCAGAAATGCTGACTGTGCTGGGGCTGGCCGGGGCCTGGCACTGCACAACAGCCCTGTGGCTTAGGCGGGCGCTGGCTGCAGCCTTCTTCTCCAGGGCCTCTCGTAACTGCTGGCAGCGTTGCGCCCAGGTGGAGTGGGGCTGTGTGTATGTGCTGGGGTCCAGCTCCCTGCCTCAGCACCGGGGCAGGGACCTTCTACCCCTTTATGTGGCCCCCGGTCATGGGCAGCGCTGCCCGGGAAGGAGCGCGGGGCTGGGGCAGATGCTGTGATCAGGTTGGTGGCTCTGTCCAGCTCTGGCTGGGTTTGAGGTGGGCTGGGCAGGACTCCATCTAGATCTCCCCTCATATGGGATGCATTGCATGCTGGGACGTGTGGCCTCCATCTCTCTCCACACTTGGAGGAGGGCAGCTGATCTGTGCTGATGCAGGGAGATGTGCTCCCCTGGACAGATCCCCTGGGAGGGTGCTGAGGCCTGTGGAGGGCTGGAGGGAGCTGCGAGCCTTGGTGCTGCTGCCTCGCACCCAGCATTGGGCCCTGCCGCCAGGGAGATCCTGTCGTCAGGCTGGGAAGGGGCTGCCTGCGGCTCATCGCAGGGCCAGGCGTCAGGAGGCGCAGGCTCGGTTGCAAGCTCCTCTACTGACTGACTGGCTGCCCCATGGCAAGGGAAGTGAGCCCTGTGCTTCCATGGGGGCTGTGCAACTGCTCCTGGCCCCGCATCTGGGGCCAGCTTCATCCACAGCTTCCTTTCCAGCAGCGGAGGCCACAGTGGGGTTGGGAGCTGCTGCAGCCCTGTGCCTGGGCGAGCGGGAGCCCCCACTGAGTGCTGGTGCCAGGGGGGCGATGGGTGGTGGAAGCCCAGGGAAGTGCTAGACTTGAGAGGATGCTACAGGTCACCTACCACTATCTTCGCCCACCAGGGTGGCCCCTCTGAGCCTAAGCCAGGCTAGATTTCACCCCATCCCTCATGGTGTATATTTGGGCCCTGCCCTTGTGCCTCTCGGGGGCCAGCCCCCACGCAAGACCTGATCCAAAGTGGTCTCTTTAGTGGCCCCTCCCCAGGCTGGGCTTTGGCCGTGGAGCCCCTAGCTCCAGTCTCCCAGGAGCCCTGTCTTGCCCGTGCCTTACCTGTCCGTGCTGCCCTCAGGCCTGAGGCTGCCCTGCTGTGCGCATCGCAGCGCTTGTTGTGGAGCCTTGCAGCTGTCCTGGGACTGGGGCCCCAGCTTTGTGGGGCATGGTGGCTGTGGGGGGGCTCAAGCTCTCAGTCCTCCCTCAGCTGCGGGGGAGGCGTGAGTTGGGCGTAAGCGCCTTTGCGTCGTGCCCGCCCTTCGGCAGAGCTGGGGCGGGGGCTGTGCTAGGCCGGGCCCAGGGAGATAAGGCAGCGAGCAGGAAGGCAGCGGCCAGAGAAGGGCTGAGACGTGGTGCCTGCCTCTGCCTCCCTTTCCTGGGACGGGCGTGGAGCACCCAGGAAGCTGCCCTCTGTCACCCCAGAGGGTTTGCATGGATGGGTTTGGGTGCAAGGCTGCAGTTTGTGAAGAGGGTTTCCCTGCTAGGCATCTGCACTTGCCTGCCCACTGGCAGGTATCAGGGCAGGCATGCGCTGGGTGGTTTTCCCGGGCCAGGCCATACGGCCAGAAGCTGGGCGCACGGGCAATGGGCGGCTCAGGGACGCCGTGTCACAGGGCAGGCGTCCCTGCCACACCCGGTCAGGCCTGTTGTTCGGGCTGGGGACGTTCCTGGCCAGGGCTGGAGCGCGTGCTGAGAGGGAGAGGGAGGGGGAGAGCCCTGCCCTGCCCTGCCCTGCCCTGCAGAGTGGCTGTGGGACTCTCCCGGTGCCCCAGAGGGGGAGTCTGACCCGGGGTGGGGGCACTGAGCTGCAGCGCCCACAGCTAGCTCGTGGCTGTGACTGGGGTCCTCCTCCCTGCCCTGCTCCTGGAGGGGAGCTGCGCTGCCTGGTGTGGTGGGTGCGGGATTGTCCTGACTGACGTTCTCCCTCTGCCTCCAGCTGGTGCCTACTACCCAGCCCAGGGGGTGCAGCAGTTCCCCCCGGGCGTCCCCACGGCCCAGGTCATGATGAACCAGCAGCCGCCCATCCCACCCAAGCGAGAGCGCAAGACGGTAAGAGCTGCAGCTAGGGGGGCTGCGGGCTGGAGCCCAGGTGCTTTTGCCCCACGCTGAGCCCCAGGGGAAGACACGGCAGGGGCAGGCAAGGGCGAGCGGCTGGAGCCATGGCTCTGTAGACACGGGCAGCCCAGCTGCTTAGTGGGGCCATAGGCGTGTTGTTTGTCTGTCTGTCCCTGCCCCTCACCCTGGCAGTGGGTGGAGGTTGTGCCCAGGTTCAGCATGAGGCGGTATCCTGGGGCTGTTTGGGGTTGGGGCGTGGGCTTGAGGCTGAGGCTGGGGCGGGTGCTGCCGGCCCAGCCTGCCACGCTCCCTGGCCCGGGCCGTGCTGAGTCACGGCGGCTGGGGGCGGGGGTGGGTGCTGCAGTCGCCAGCCGGTGCCTGCCTGCCTGCCGGAGCTGCAGCCCTGCCGGCTCCGGGCCCTGCACACAGACCTATTTATAGCGTGCGGAGCCGCTGCAGCTTGGCTCTGCCAGGCTCCTCCCTGGGGGGCGGTTTCTTCCTCTCAGCTCACGTGGGGGGGAAGGGGGGACCTTAGTGTCAGCCCCCCTCCCTGTGTTACTTGGTTTCCTTTGGCCCCGGGGAGCAGGGTGTTGGAGTCAGAGAGAAGTGGGGCTGGAAGGGATCTCCAGAGGTCATATCTAGTCCAACCTCTGCCTGAGGCAGGGTCAGCCCCATCCAAACCATCCCGCACCGCCATCATCTAAGCCCTGCATGAGACGGCCAGACTTAGCACCCGCACCTGCTGCAGGCTGAAGTTTCCATGCTGATCAGGATTCACCATGAATCAGCCCTCGTGAAATGGGGAAGCGCCTGCCATGGCCCCTCTGTCCCACGTACAACTCTGTCACCTTTGCTGCAGCGGGGCCAGCATGCAACTGGGTGCTCAGGGCCCTGTGGGTGCCTCCTGCAGTGGCTGGCAGACCGCGTCTGCCCATGGTTCTAGGCTGGGGCTCTGCCTTGGCCAGCAGAGCCACACTTGGCCATTTGCAGCAAGTCGCAGTGGCCTTGGGAACCTTGCAGCCTGCCAGGTGGTGTCTGTCTCTGGCCTGTCTTGAGGGGTATGGTGTAGGCAGCTCAGTGTGTGAGGGGTCAGGGCCTGCGTGCTGTATGCAGCAAGCTCTGGGCAGGCTGCAGCCTTGCTTGTGTTCCCAGGTTAGCAGCAGATGAGGGCCCCTGGGGGTGCCCTTATGGGGCCTCAGACTAGGCACCTGTCCAGTGGCTCAGGGGTAACTGAGCCTGAGCTGGGCCGTGCTGGGGAGCACAGTCGTG